TCCAGGGATGGGGAATCCACCACCTCCCTGGGCAGCACATTCCAATGCCTGAGCACTCTCTCTGGAAAAAATCTCTTCCTAATCTCCAACCTAACCCTCCCCTGGCAGAGCTTGAGTCTGTGCCCTCTTGTCCTGCTGCTGGTTGCCTGGGAGAAGAGACCAACCCCCACCTGACTCCAACCTCCTGTCAGGGAGTTGCAGAGGGTGATGAGGTCTCCCCTGAGCCTCCTCTTCTCCACATTGAAGCAAGCCATGATAGATACAAGCTGATCTTCATCAATGCCGTTAAAATTTGGGAAAATTCTGATGTTTGATATTTTGGATACTGCCTGTGGTAGAAGGGCTTGGCACACTAGCCAAAGAGCACAGTGGAAATGAATTGATTCAAACCCAAATAACATCCTATGCTGCTTTTCTTTCTAACTGTTGGGTAAATCAAAGACCATCCTTGCCTTGCCTGAAGATATTTATGGGCCATAGTGTTGATTATAGAACAGCAAAGTACCAATAATCTAAAATATATACATGTTTTAGAAGATATATTTAACTTTTAAACCTTTTTGCTTGAGAAGGATGTTCTTAGTGGCCTTTTCCTGTCTCATTTGGGAGATATGTTTGCTCTGGAATTGGTTTGGCTCTTTGGGAGCCATTACAGCTGTTACCCAAACCTCTGGATGCAGAGTAGCATAGAATTATTGTGGCTTCCATTCAGTGGAAGTATTTTTCTGCCTTCCTCACATTCTGAGGCAATGATAGTGTGTGTAATCCTTATTTCCCTTCTTTTCTTTTACTTTTGTAGTTTGATGGTTTCTCTGTGGTTTTTTTTAGCCTTTCTTGTTAATTTGAGAAGATCTAAATGGTGCATTGGGGAGATTTAAGTGGGAGTTGAACAGTGTCTGTGTTATGGTAGATATACTTCATCCTGAAACCAGAAAATTCTCCTCTGCTCCTGTAAATGTCTTCAAAAGAGCAGAGTTTTGAGCAGTGTTCGTTGGGTTCTTGTGCAATCATAGAGCTTTAAAATGCTTCCAGAGCATCTTCCCACCCACTTATTCCCCTTCTTTGGGAGGGGAGGCTCATCCCATTACAGTTTCCAAGCTGAGAAAGGGGATGGTGTTAAATTCTGCACTGGCAAGAAGGTGTAGTCTACTTCTAACATATGTCCTTAAGGTTTCTGTCAAGTAGTTTTGCAGTAATTTTCTCCTCCGATTTGTACTGCATGAAATATGAGTTTAAAAGAATTTAAATTCAGTCAATCACTTTTCAAATGTGTTGGTGCAAATCTGTGAAGAATCTGCAGAGTGTATGAACCACTATAGTGAGCTGGACTATGTCACCTTGGTCAGTTTTCAAGTTACCTATGCAGTTCTGCAAGGCATTTAATCCAAATATTGCCATTCCTTGTCAGGTGGTGTCATTCTGCTGGGGTTAAAAATGGTCATGGGGAAAGGACAAGAGCTGCTCTGTAGTGCTTAGAGCTGTGTCCAGATCGTAGCTGTGTCATACTGAAATTACCTTTCACAGCTGAAAGAAAATGTCACATTAAACCAATACATCTGAAAAAAATATTATGTACAAGTCTAACCATTTGGCAGAATGAATTGGATAGATCAAAGATTAGTGCACGAATGAAACAGAAGTAAATGATGCTGCATACTGAGAAGTTTCTGTGGTTATTCTGAAGGACTTTTTTTGGAGAGTAGCAGGAGATTGGAGATGAGTGACAAGCTAATCTTGGCCTAAATAAAATATGAACTAAGAATAATGAAAACACTGAGAGTTATGTTCTCACAAAATGAGTTGGATGAGTTTTATCAAACCCCACAATTAGTTGTCAAAAACACCCCTAAGCCATGACTTCTTGTGTCATTTCAAGACTTCAAAGCTGTGTGTCATTCAGGAATACACACTGCAGTGCAACTGGGAGGCAGCTTAGGAGATAATGGGAATCACAGTCTTTGAGATCCCTAGACAAAAGTGTTTTTACAAACATTAGCTAAATGAGTTGCTAAAGATAATTTTAGTCAAGGACTTTAAGTAATACTTAATTTTTGCTGTTTATTTCTGAATAGAAATAACAGATAAATGTGGATGTTTCCAGAAGATGCTCCAAAACAAGAATAGCTTTGCAACTAAGTCCAAAGAATATAAGATAGAGACCAAATATGTGTTATGTTTGCATTTTTTTTTCTCTGACACTGCTAAAACTAATTACAGAAGAAAACAGAGAAAAACTGTTCAGTATTGTCCAAACAAATGCAAACCAGCTGAAAAGCATTCCCTTAAAGCTCACTTGGGTACAGACAGTGAAAAAGCAATACACAAGAAGCTGCCAAAAATGTTAATAGATTATATCTCACCTGGGAGAAACATCCTGCTGATAAGACTACTGAAATGAAAGACAGTTAAAAATCGCAGAATGAGGCAATTTCTGCTGCCTCTGAGCTTTGTGGAAGGTAAATGGAAGGGAAAATGACTTAAATATCATGAACATGATGGGGAGAAATGCAGTCACAGATTTAAGAGAGATTTCTTTGTAGGTTGTTGAATCCTTTCCCCCCAAGGGTACAGAGGCTCTGCCTCTGGCCATGCTGTACACAGTAGGGCAATCAGGGAATTTTAATTCATTACTGCTCGTGGTGCATTTATTTTGCCACTGTGAAGGCTGAAGCTCCACAGCACTGTTCAGTTTAGCACATAAATGAGACATATTTAGGCTGCCACTGTACCTGTAGGATGCTGATCCTCCTCCTGTGTGCTATATGCTTTGCTTGGAACAACTTTATTTCATGCTGACTCATGATCTTGGAAGATATTTATGCTTCCTTGGTAGAAAAGATGCTGGATTAATTAAGACACTAACTATTTCTAGACTAATGGGCTGTGAACACAAAGGCTGCCAAATCCATAACCACAAGCTAGACCATGACTCCATGATCTTATCACTAATCTTCCAGGCTTTTTTTTATTTATCCAGTTGATCAATGCCTGTGTGTTTCACTGGGGTCACAAGTGCAGCAGGAGTGAAGGGCTCAGGGTGTGTAAGTGTGCTCGTAGTGCAGAGGCTGTGGAGTCTCTCCTGTCTGACAGAAGCTGATGGATGTTATACCTGCTGGCATAAGTGGAAGTATGTTTGCCTGGGAAGCTAAATGAATGGAAAAGGTAGAGATAAAAATAAAAAAATTGGAAGATGAATAGCAGTGGCAATGACAACCTTTAGTGGCCTCAGTGGAGCAGCCTAGGGATGACAAGAAACTCAGGCTGAAAAGTGTTGGTGATTTATAGACTGTGTAAGAATGGCACATCTCTATTGACATGAATTATAAGGAAGGACAGATGATCTGTCAAAATAGGAAACTGTCTTCAAAAAAAGAATGTTTCTGAAACATGATTGGCACAAGGTGAGAAGAGAGAAATGATCATGAACAACTCTTCCAGTAGGTTAAGAAGAGTGAGCAGAACAAGCTGGATGTGATAATGATTGGATGAATAGCCAACCTTCCAAAAGCTGATATAGAAAACACCCTTGTAAAGATTTAATTATTACATTTGAACAGTCTGACAGACTCATTTGCATCTGCACATATGTGTATAGGTGGTGTTTCTTGTGTTACCATAACACAAGAGTTTGTCAGAAGGTCAATGCCAGATATGCCTTGAGAGAGAACAGCAATGTTTTATTTAGTTAGAAACACCAATGTTTTGAAGCAGTTATTTGTCTTCTCAATCTGCATCAAGTGCAGTGGCTAGGGGGAAGATATTTTTATTTTGTACTGTAGTCTGAAGCAGAGGTATTATAAAAGAACAGGGGAAAAGGGTAAATAGTGACTTCTGCTTAGGGAAACATTGAAGTCCAAATAAAACTATCTAAACCAAAGCATACTACAGGTGTAAAAAGATTAGCATATTGACCTCAATATGAAGTGTTTTTAACAAGCAGTCAAAATCTGTGGTGTTTTGAGGGATGAATAAGTGCTAGTTCAGAAACTGTCATGTTGCTCTGGGTACTTCAGTGGGAAATATGACTGCATTAAATTCTAGTGTGCACAATACTTTGGTGTACTAAAGATCTCCTTCAGGCTGCACTTGTTTCTCTGTACCTTCAGGGTCCAAGGGTTCAAAGCTCTGACCTTTATAGGGCTTAGCTCATAGGCAACAGCAAACTATAACTTTCACATAAATCACTGTCTTTCTTTCTCTCTAATGCTACTAGATTTATTGATCTCTGTGCTTAACATTAGAGACTGGTCCACACTGAGTGGTCCTTAACATTTATTTTTCATGCTCTGTAAGACTGGATTTCCCTTTTTACTTCCTTCTCAACTAACTTCTTTTGGAAGAAGTGCCACAAATTTTCCTGTGTCCTAAGCACCTGATCTGATGTTTGTGTATCTGTAAGGTCAAGCCTCATGTGCAAATAAAAAAAATCCCTCATTTTATAATTCTAACACTATGTGCTTATTTTGGTCGACATCATCGTGTTATTATCAAGCTGCCTCTGAATAATATCATAGAGTTTTCTTTCTGCCTAGGTTGTTATTTTTTTATTCACTGCCTTTGAAAACAACAAAAAAAAAACCCATTAGAAGGCATAGGATTACAACTCAGAGGATTCTATATTGAAATTTACTCCAAACACTATTAGTTCAGAGTATGAATGTTTAGATAATCATTCCTATAATGCAGCAAAACAAGAAAAAATTACAAATAATGAAAATATGGGGTGTGAGGGACACAATGGCTTTGTACTGTCTACCTTGAATCAGCAGCTCCATAAATCTGCTCTGGGGCTGCTCTAGTATCCCTTTGACGGACACACGAGAAATCTGTACACAAATAAACACACATCATCCTAAGTCATGAACAAGTGCTCACTCCAAGTTTTATTGAAACTGAAGACAGTATTCAAATATATTTTTGTTGAGAATCGAGACAACTGATTTCTTTAGGATCATCTGGTTTACATGCCAGAGCCTCAGTTAACCCTTTTGTTACATTCACAGGAGCATGGAAGTGAGCCAGGTGCCTCGTCTCTCAGCCAACCACCACCGTGTCATCACCCACAAACTGGTAAGTTGGAACCTCAAGGTTTAAGGGTGCAGGCCCTTTCCTGATTCTGCCAGAGGCATCATAGTGGGAGCCATGGCAAGGGCAGTAGTAACCGCCAAAATCTCCGGAGTTAGCGATGGGCACACAGCCCAGGTGGGTGCACACACCGACCAGTATGACCCATTCTGGTTTCTTCACTCTGTCTAAGTCATGCTGTGGATCCCTCAGTTGAGACAAATCAACTTGAGCTTCCTGATTAATCTCTGCCTGGGTTCTGTGACGCACAAAAAGGGGCTTCCCTCTCCACTTGAAAGCCATGTTCTTGCCTTCTGGAATGTCAGACAGCTTGATCTCAATCTTGGACAAGGCTAACACATCAGCAGAGGCACTCAGGCTGGAAATAAACTGGGTGACAACACTTTTAGCAGCATAGGCAGATGCTACACAGGTGGTTGCAGTCAGCAGGTAGGAAAACCCCTTTCTGGAGTCACTGCTGCTCTGGGAGGATGCCTTGGGATCCTGCACGTCCTGGCGCCGATAGGCAGAGAAGTCAGGGACCACGACATCGTTGTGGACAAAACGGACACTGGCAGGTGCTGCAGGAAACAAAAGAGAAAACGACACAACTTTCAGGTAAAACAATTGTGATGCATTTTAAGTTATACTTTTTAAACTGTGTTTTTGGAATAATGGCTAAAAGCGACTCCAGAGTCTAGAGGAGACTCCATTAATTACATGTTTCAGTGTTAAGTTGTATGAAAATGGTTTCCCAAAGGAATTTTTGGTAGATGAACAGGTGGTGATCTCTGAAATTGTTTTCCCTAGTCTTGGAAAATTGCAGGAAGCCTAATCAGCGTGAAGAAAAAATTGTGAGAAGCTCTGGGTTTTTGTGAGGAAAAAGGTTTAAGTATTTTTGCAGAATAGTTCAAGGAAAAACTCCTGCAGGATATCAGGACTAGCTCAGAATAGGTAAACCTGTTTTCCCTTCAAATGTTTCACTGAAAAGAATTGCTGTGAAGGAATTTAATTTGGTTAAGTTCGAACATCTGCAGCTTAACACTTCTGGGCTCTCTTTTCACCTAAGTAACTTCTGTGTCTTCAATAACCTTAAGTGTGTGGTTAAGCATTGCCTCTCCCTTTAGATTAAACTGTTGTCATAGCTAACTGCCCCAGGAAATAATTTCAAACAGGCTCACTTTATGGAAGGATTTAGGGATAAAGCTATTAACTAGCCAATTCCCAAGCTTTTCAAGTGAGATTCTCACATCAAACCTCTTGCTAACCTAACAAGATGTGAAGGTAACTGAGGCTTTCCATTAGTTTCTTCAGCAAAAGAAAATGCTTCCCACCATGACAATCTGTAACATATTACTTGCAACCTCTGCTACTTGAAAAGAACTGTTTAGTCTTTCTATTTTTCTAGCAGGTGGCACAAAGTTAACAGATGTTAATGGAACCCATTGTCTCGGAGTACTTGAAATTTAACTCTCAGGGATTTAAATGCAAATATAAGGGGGAAAATAGCTACATTTATTTACAATTAACTCAGCAGAGAGAAGGTATTTGCTGTAGGATTTTAACTGCAGAGAAACTAAACTGAAATTGAAAGTTCTGAAACATACTTATGTCTGTATCAAGACTTAAAATATTTCACAATGTTATTGACTTCTAAGAATTCCCTGCACTCATTGAAAAGCATGATTGATGTTAATGAAAACTAAGAGCAAGGCTCAATGCCAACTCTGTCAGTTATAGATCTGTAGTTTCCACCTGAACACATCCCTTACAGCTGAGGGTCAGGTCAAGTGAGTAGCTAATTGCTTCACAGCCTCTTCAGGCATTGGAATGTGCTGCCCAGGGGGGTGGTGGATTCCCCATCCCTGGAGGTTTTCAAGGTGAGACTGGATGTGGCACTTAGTGCCATGGGCTAATAATGATGGTAGGGTTGGACTTACCACCTGGTAAGAGATCTCTTACCACCTGGCTGATTCTATGACACTTCCCCAAGGCCCTGCCCTCTTCCAGAGCTGTGTGGCTGTGTCTGTAAGAGCACAGGGCAGGGCTGGGCAGCAGCTCTGCAGGAAATGCAGACCAGTGTGTGTCAGCGGAGCCACAGCCCTTTGCCTAGATTAGAGAGTACTCTGGAGGTCACAGCCTGGATCTGCTCTAACCTGGGGGGAACACACGGTAAAGCACAGTGTGTTCTCACTGCACATAGCCAGCAGTTAAATCACTGAGTGACACAGAATGTACCTGCACCTTTAGCTCTGGTGATGCTCAAAGGCAGGTCGGATGAGCCTTGAGCAACCTGGTCTGGGGGGCGGTGTCCCTGTCCAGGGCAGGGCTTGGGAATGGACATCTTTAAAGTCCATTCCAGCCCCGAAATTGTATGATCTTCCAAACAGCAAACTAAGCATCATCTGACAGCTTCGCAGCGCCCTTGGGACAGGACGTACGCGCGTGTCACGGTGCTAACTGGAATCAAGCCTGAAAACGGCCCCAAACGCCCCCA